TCATTTATGCCAAGTCAGTTTTTCAAATGCTGAATATCTGTATGCCAAAATATACCAGGGATGTTAACTGTGGGAAATATATGTATCACAATATTTCAAAAAAGCTGTTTGCCAAAGATCTGGTGGAAAGGGCCTTGATTCCAGGCTCCATCACAGAAACATTGCATTTTTCTAGAAATATCTTTAGGACACTATCTGAAAGTTAGCAATAAATGATGTACTACAAGAGTGGACTATAGCAATTTAGTTTATCGTGATCTGCCAAAGTCTCCGCTGAAAAGTTGCAGAATGTCTTGAATAAGGCAGTAAGACTAACTAAGGGATTGCAACCTCATGAAAGAATTGCTCCAATGTTAACTATATATATATATTTTTTTTAAGTTATAATAATCTTCAAATATTAATTTGTGGAACAATTTAGTTTTTGAGAGGAACCAGAATTTGAGACATGGTATGTTTTATTTGTGGTGTTGATATATCTTACCCAGCTGATTAAGATTAATTTCACACCCTTGAGGATTTAGAGGAATATATTTATGACCAAAGTTGAAAATAGTCATCCCCATAACTCCTTTTATAGGGTTAAACTAGTCAATATCCAATGGATCCCTTTCAAGGGTATTCTTTCATCTGATATTAGGTCTATAATTTTTGTTTTTTGTAGGAATATTTTGGTATGTCTTAGTATGTAGACTTTTGATTATCTAGGATATGTTTTGTAATGAGTAGGTTTACATTTGGATTACTGTTTTTTTTTTTTTTTCTACAGAGCTTCCAGCAATATCACTCAGTTGGGCAATTCCACGGTGGCAGATGTTACATTCAGAGGGGTTGGAAGTTATTTCAGTTGCCCTTATTACTAGAGTATTATCTATTGGCACTTGATACTGTGTTATAGGCTTGATTATGCCACTGGCATTCTCATGCCAAGAGGAAATATTTTTAGCTTGACATACAGCTTGAGGGTAATCAGAAACTTGTGTGACGGATGTTACATCAAATGGACATAGTAGTAACTTTATTTACAAATTGTCTGAAAACTTGGTGCTATACATTTGTATTTCTCCCAAAAAAAATCAACTCAAGATGGTCACAGAAAGCTACAAACTGCAAATCCAAAACCCAATGAAAATATTACATAACTATGTGATGGACGTAATGTGATTTATGTTACAGTTTGTCCATAGGCACAGTTCTTGAATTCACTATTTTATATATATATATATATATATATATATATATATATATATATATATATATATATATTATATATATATATTATATATATTGAGATACATTGTCTATCATATAGTAGTAGCATATTAAATCAAGTTCTAACATATTAAATCAAGTGAAAATGAACCCAAAAGCAAGTTAAATTAATAAGTTTTGCAAGGCTAAAATTACTCTATTTTAGGGGCTAAAGGCACACTCAAGAAGAAAAATGATAGGGCTAATTTAGAAGAATTTATTTCTTGGGAGCTGGGGGTCTTGTGAATATATTCCCATCATATATAGAATAAATCAGTGATTTCTATTTTATCCCCTCATGCCCCTCCTGCTGTGGAATTACACAGTTATATCTTGGACAATGGATGAAGAAGTTTCTTTATTTTTACACCATAAGCCTTTTTTGGCATATGAAGCATATGAATTTTTATTGTGTAGAGTATGTTTTACTTTTTGTGTGTTGTTTTTAGTTTTGTTATGCATCAGTCAAATATTCTGTTATGATCGTGTCCAATTCTTGTTTTTTTATTTTATTTTATTTTTTTCTGATATTCAAAATGTCTTTAGTTATGTTAAAAGGTTTACTTATATTGTGAGGTGTTTTTGTTCAAGATCTGCTACTTCATTACCCTTCATGTTTTTGTGTGCTGGTATCCATTGTAAAGGATTATTATTAAGGATAATTGATTGGTTTTTGAATATGATGTGTTTGTATTTTTTTCTATTAAAGTTTTGTATGTAATGAATTGCTGAATTGAAGTCTGTATATATAATTGAATTTTTCATGTTTTGACCATAACTTAGTCCTTGTTTTATGGTATATAGTTCAGCTTCACATATTTGTGTTACTCATGGTTGTTTCCATATCGTTGTGTTATTTCATCTTCAATGTAGTTTGCTGCTTAGGTTGACTTGACTTTTTTACACCTATCTGTGAATATTTTATTATGATTTTTATATATTGTGTCTTCTATTAAATATATCTGCTTCATGATTTCTTTAGGAGTGTCTTTTGAGAGGCAATGCAGAATTTTTTTCCCATGTTTTGAATATCATACCATGGTGGTATTTCACTTTTACTTCAGATATAACTTGAATTTATTATGATTTTGAATTATTTACATGTTTCTGTAAGTCTCTCAATAAAAGTCTTTTTATCAATATTCATATTATATTCTGTAATTGATTGTTATTAGTTGTTTAATAGGCATAATTTCTTGTTTTTGTAATATTTTTTTACCATTAAGCAAGGCTAAATATGAAGGGCATA